GAGAAAGTAGACATGATACAGGAGATGGTCAGAGAATGTAGACATGATACAGGAGATGGTCAGAGAATGTAGACATGATACAGAAGATGGTCAGAGAATGTAGACATGATACAGGAGATGGTCAGAGAATGTAGACATGATACAGGAGATGGTCAGAGAATGTAAACATGATACATGAGATGGTCAGAGACTATAGACATAATACACAAGATGGTCAGATACTGTGGACATGATATAAGAGATTGTGGAAATACTACAGTTGAAGGTCAAAGATTGCAGACATGATACAAGGGATGGTCAGAGACTGTGAAAATACTACTGGAGATGGTCAGAGACTGCAGACATGATACAAGAGATGGTCTGAGACTGTGGACATAATATAGGAGATGGTCAGAGACTGTAGACATGATACAGGAGATGGTTAGAGACTGAGGAAATACTACTGGAGATGGTCATAGACTGCAGACGTAATATAAGAGATCGTCAGAGACTGCAGACAAGATACAAGAGATAGTTAGAGACTGTGAACATGCTGTAGGAACTGGAGATCGAGAACATGCTTCAGGAGACAGTCATAGACTGGAGACACATCACAGGAGACTTCTAGAAATCACTGCTATAACAGAACACTGGGGGAAATAGGTTAGTGCCTGCAGGGGCCCCAAGGGACACACAAAAAGTGCCAAAGGGCCACATGCCACAGGTTGAGCACTAGGGAAGTATAGCGAGTGTATCTACACACCACACCCTAGACCACTGTGGTAGGGATGGACTCAGAAGTGACAGTTGGCCCCCCATACACACCGAACTACAACTTCTAATCCCGCTATGATCGGGGGGAAAACACTGGAAAATTCGCCTTCAGGCTCATAATGATGACAAATACATTTTTTGAACAGCAGCCAAATAAAAGTTCCTTTTTTTTTTTTTCAGCTGGTGGACATGAAACAGAGTGTGAGAACATAAAAGGGGACGGTCAGACCAATCCTCCGCCACGGCCGGGCCCCAGGGAGCTGCCAAACATGCTGCTACAACAAGAAAGGTCAGGAGGATGCGCCCGCATGAAAGGCTGACCTTGGCTTCCTCGCTGAACGAGTCTCCCGTGGACGGCGTGTTTGTCCGCACATGACGCTTCGCTTTTCTAATTAGCCAATTAGTGGGCCTTCGGCGGGTAAAGCTGGAGTCATGTATTATGGATGGACTATTGAGCTGTGCTGCATGGAGGATGGAAAGGGAGATGCAGACACAAATCTCATAATTAGCTCTCAGAGAAGAACGATAAATCACATGGAGTATGTCTATATCACTACTACCCCTCGTACAATGGCCTGCTGTCTAGTATACCAAGGGATGGGGGGGGGGGGTATCATAGTAATTTAAGGCTGTGTGGCTCCCCATGAGCAGTGTGGACTAGAGAGAGTCGCCAGGAATAAAGCACCCCGCAGAATCACAGAACATAATACAAGACATGGTCAGAGACTGTGGACATGATACAAGAGATGGTCAGAGACTGTGGACATGATACAAGAGATGGTCAGAGACTGTGGACATGATACAAGAGATGGTCAGAGACTGTGGACATGATACAAGAGGTGGTCAGAGACTGTAGACATGATACAAGAGATGGTCAGAGACTGTGGACATGATACAAGAGATGGTCAGAGACTGTGGACATGATACAAGAGGTGGTCAGAGACTGCAGACATGATACAAGAGATGGTCAGAGACTGCGGACATGATACAAGAGTTGGTCAGAGACTGTGGACATGATACAAGAGATAGTCAGAGACTGCGGACATGATACAAGAGATGGTCAGAGACTGTAGACATGATACAAGAGATGGTCAGAGACTGTGGACATAATACTCCCTATATGCCCTATAAAGCTGGCTGTGCACTGCTTGAAATTCAGCTGGTTCCTGCTGGCCAGTCGAATTTTGTGTGTGGGTTCACCTGCTCAACAGAAGTTGAACGAGGGACAAAAATTTCCATCAATCAGCAGCTATAGCCAATACAACCTTTCTATTGTCACTATTGTCATCACTGGGTCTCTGTACTTCTCTAGGCAGTGCAGGCAGATCCTGGCTGGTGGGTGGCCAGCAGGGGGCTGTACATAGCTTCTTGAAAACATCACAGCACCCTGCCTTCATACTCCTCCGAAGAGCCCTCAACTCTGATGCAAGCAGTGGGCAGGCTCTTGGGAGGAGTTATGCAAATATCAGAATGTCTGGATAGGTGAGTGACTGGGTGCTCCTAGATGATGTATTTGCATGCAGACCACACTAGGTAATACCCACATGTAATGAATGCAGAGACTCTACAAGTGAAAGAATTAAAATCCGATTAATGAAAGGGGCGGGCCAGAGTCTGCTGGGGAGGAAAAAGCAAGATGATGCTGGATGTCCTCCAGCCAGGAAATGAGGTGGACCCCTCACTGGCTTGCTGCAGCTACTAATGCATATTGTGAAAAGCTCGCAGTGTGCAGTGAAATCAGAGGAAGCCATACACCTGTGTAAGACTGGCATTCAGCTTTCACTGCATATCTATTTTGCATGATTATTAGAGGACAGAAGTAGAATAGCTGCCTAGGCTTTAGGTCACATGGGATAAAGGGCGGCACTTTGTGTGATTTGGGAAGCTTGATGCACCCTGATAATTTATTTATTAAAAATCAAGTGATCCAAAATACAGCTGAAAGCTAATGGATCACGGCTCACAAAGTCTTACTCATAGCTATCAGTACGGCTCTGTAAGCTGAAACGCGTAAGTTCATATCTATGTGTACGGCTCTGTAAGCCGAAACGCGTAAGTTGATATCTACGAGTAAGGCTCTGTAAGCCGAAACGCGCAAGTTCATATCTACGAGTAAGGCTCTGTAAGCCGAAACGCGCAAGTTCATATCTACGAGTAAGGCTCTGTAAGCCGAAACGCGTAAGTTCATATCTATGAGTAAGGTTTGGTAAGCCGAAACGCGCAAGATCATATCTACGAGTAAGGCTCTGTAAGCCGAAACGCGTAAGTTCATATCTACGAGTAAGGCTCTGTAAGCCGAAACGCGCAAGTTCAGATCTACGAGTAAGGCTCTGTAAGCCGAAACGCGTAAGTTCATATCTACGAGTAAGGCTCTTCATAATCATATCTACGAGTAAGGCTCTGTAAGCAACATTAACACAGAGAGAGAGAAAGACTGATGTTGTTCCTCCCTTTCTATGACCCCAGAAACCGGAAGCAATGAGGATTTCTTCACTTCCAGTTTCGGTTCTTCGTTTACCTGGCAATTAAACGGCCAAGGAATCAGCCAGTCAGACTGTTCTGTGTCTGATTGGCTGCATTGGAGGCCAGAGGAGAGGTCTGAGGTCTAAAAGAGTCCAGATCTCACCATAAAGAGGACCTGTCACCAGGGCGGTGCTTGACTAACTTGCACCTTGGGGAAGACCAGCTACTTGCAACCCCCACCCTCCCATAAAAAAAAAAAAAAAAAAAAAATTAAAAAAACTTCACCTGTAGTTCTACTTCACCCCCCCCCCCCCAGCACGCATTCTCTTTTCCCTCAAAATTTCCACCCTAGCACAAATCCTCTCCCCCAAATCCCCCCTCCTAGCACAACCCCCTCTAAATACCCTTCCCAGCACAAATCCTCCTTCCCCACCCAAAATCCCTCCTGCTAGCAGAACCCCTCACAATCTCCCACCCTAGCACAATTATCCCCCTCCCCCCCCCCCCAATTCTCCATCCCAATCGCCCTCTCCTAGCACCAATTCCCCCCAAATCCCCCATCCTAGCACAACTGCCCAATCCCCTCTCCTAGCACAAATTCCCCCCCTCCTAGTACTAATTACCCCCCCCAATCCCCCCTTTCTAACACATTTCCCCCAATCCCCTCTCCTAGCACAAATTGCACCCCCAGCTCCCCTCCTAACAGAAATCCCCCCATCCTCTCTCCTAGCACAAATTCCCCCAATCCCCTCCTAACACAACCCCCCCTCCAATCCCCCCTCCTAGCACAAATCCCCCCCCCCTCCCCAATCCCCCCACCTAGGACACATTTCATAAAATCCCTCCTCTAGCTAAAACCCCTCCAAATTCCCTTCCCAGCATAAAATCCTCCCACCTTACCCAAATCCCCCACCCTTTAGCTCAAATCCCCCCCAACCTCTCTCCTACTCCTAGCACATATCCCCCCATTCCTTCTCCTACCACAAATCCACCCACCCCCCCATCATCACTATTACCCTTCCCAGCACAAATAGCCCCCACCCCCCTCCTGCGCAAACCTCTCATCTCAGTACAAATGATTGTTACCCCTCCTTTCATTGTGTACAGCCCCCCCTGGCCTGTAAGTCCCCCCTGAACCTAAAGCCGGTAAATCAGGTAGAGGTGCCGGCTGTGCTTTCACTCCTGCCAGCAAAGCGATCCTCCATACTGCAGATGACACAGGATCACTCTTGGACCGGGCTGTGCACAGTTGGATTACCTACCTATCTCCTCCAATAGCTGCTCATCTCTCAGCAGCAGGGAGCCAGGAAATGAATCAAATGCTGAACATGCCGATGTCAGAGCGATCCTGTGTCATCTGCTTTATGGAGGATCAATCCACTGACAGGAGAGGAGAGCACAGCCTGCACCTCCCACCGCTCTCCTGTCATTTCTCCTTTGCAGGCTGCTCTCCCCTTGTTCCAGCCGTGAGTACGGGGGTGGGGGAAGGCACTCAGTGACCAGGCACAGCGTCAATGGAAAGACCAGCCTGAGAAGGGGGGCACAACCATGACTGAAGTCGGGGGGAGGGCGATGTAGCCCACCCCAGCACCCCCCTAGATTCAATTGGATCTAGGCCGCAACTAAGCTCATTTGTCTGGTGACTTTGTCTGCGAAGAGTCAGCTCCTCGGACAAGCTGGTTTGGGTTTCAGGTAAAGGTGTAGACATTTCCTTTTGTTACTAGCAATAACCAATTGGCAGTATGACAATATTCTCGATGTGCACACACCACCCAACCGAATACCTGAAACTCCTTCTGCGCAGTGGAAGTCTCACTCGCTCGCGGGAAGAAGATCAGAACCAGAGTGACGATCAGCGCCAGGATGAAGAATACAATACTCAGCAATCTGTAAGAGCAAAAAGGTACAGAACTCCTCACATCAGTGGGATGTAGAAAGATGGAACCACATTGACCACCATTGTACCATCTGAGAGGTGCTGGAGGTCTACCATCTGAGAGGTGCTGGAGGTCTACCATCTAAGAGGTCCTGGAGGTCTACCATCTGAGAGGTGCTGGAGGTCTACCATCTGAGAGGTGCTGGAGGTCTACCATCTGAGAGGTGCTGTAGGTTTACCATCTGAGAGGTGCTGGAGGTCTACCATCTGAGAGGTCCTAGAGGTCTACCATCTGAGAGGTCCTGGAGGTCTACCATCTGAGAGGTCCTGGAGGTCTACCATCTGAGAGGTCCTGGAGGTCTACCATCTGAGAGGTCCTGGAGGTCTACCATCTGAGAGGTCCTGGAGGTCTACCATCTGAGAGGTGCTGGAGGTCTACCATCTGAGAGGTCCTGGAGGTCTACCATCTGAGAGGTGCTGGAGGTCTACCTCTGAGAGGTGCTGGAGGTCTACCATCTGAGAGGTGCTGTAGGTTTACCATCTGAGAGGTGCTGGAGGTCTACCATCTGAGAGGTCCTAGAGGTCTACCATCTGAGAGGTCCTGGACCATCTGAGAGGTCTACCATCTGAGAGGTCCTGGAGGTCTACCATCTGAGAGGTCCTGGAGGTCTACCATCTGAGAGGTCCTGGAGGTCTACCATCTGAGAGGTCCTGGAGGTCTACCATCTGAGAGGTCCTGGAGGTCTACCATCTGAGAGGTCCTGGAGGTCTACCATCTGAGAGGTCCTGGAGGTCTACCATCTGAGAGGTCCTGGAGGTCTACCATCTGAGAGGTCCTGGAGGTCTACCATCTGAGAGGTCCTGGAGGTCTACCATCTGAGAGGTTCTGGAGGTCTACCATCTGAGAGGTCCTGGAGGTCTACCATCTGAGAGGTTCTGGAGGTCTACCATCTGAGAGGTCCTGGAGGTCTACCATCTGAGAGGTCCTGGAGGTCTACAAGTGAAGTCTCTCTGGTGTCCAATCTGCAGTCTTTTGGTATTTAGTGTTCTGGTCTCGGGGCTCTGTCAGCCTGTAGTCATTGTTTTCCCTCTCTAGGTACTTGGTCAGGGCCAGGAACATCTTCACTAGGACATCTTCTGCCAGGTAAGCGGTTGGGTTTCGTTCTTTTACACTTTCTGTATCATTCATTCCTTTTACACTTTATTCTCTGTATTATTTTTTCTCAGAACTTTTATATATAGATGTTGCCAAAAGGAATGTCAAAATGTCTGCATTCTCTGACCATCTCCTCCGGCACCTCCTCAGTCTTTGACCATCCTCTCTAGTTGTCTGCGTTCTCTGACCATCTTACTATAGCACATCAGCAGTCTCTGACCATCTGCTCCAGCACATCCGCAATTGCCAGTCAGCTACTCTAGCACATTCGCAGTCTCTATTCTATTCTATGTGTGCAGTCTCTGAATATCTACTCCAGCACATCTGCAGTCTCAAACCTTCTACCCTAGTATGTCTGTAGTATCTGACCACCTACTCTTGCACCTCTGCAGTCTCTGACCATCTCATCTAGCATTTCTCTGGTCATTGACCATCTACACATCCACAGTCTTTGATCATCTACTCTACTATGTCTGCAGTCCTGGACCATCTACTCTAGCTTGTCTGGGGTCTCTAACTATCATCCCTAGTATGTCTGCAGTCTCTGACTATGTACTCTAGCACTTCGACAGCCTCTGGCCATCTAATTTAGCATATTTGTAGGCTCTGGCCATCTACTCAAGCATGTATACAGTCTCTGACCATCTACTATAGCACATCTACAGTCTCTGACCATTTACTATAGCACGTCTACAGTCTCTGACCATCTACTATAGCACGTCTACAGTCTCTGACCATCTACTATAGCACGTCTACAGTCTCTGACCATCTACTATAGCACGTCTACAGTCTCTGACCATCTACTATAGCACGTCTACAGTCTCTGACCATCTACTATAGCACATCTACAGTCTCTGACCATCTACTATAGCACATCTACAGTCTCTGACCATCTACTATAGCACATCTACAGTCTCTGACCATCTACTATAGCACGTCTACAGTCTCTGACCATCTACTATAGCTTGTCTACAGTCTCTGACCATCTACTTTAGTACGTCTACAGTCTCTGACCATCTACTTTAGTACATCTACAGTCTCTGACCATCTACTCTAGCATGTCTGGGGTCTCTAACTATCGTCTCTAGCACATCCACAGTCTTTGATCATTTACTCTAGCAAATATGCAGTCTCTGATCATCTAATCTAGCATTTCTGTGGCCTCTGACCATCTACACTAGCACCGTCACAGTCTCTGACCATCTGCTCTAATATGTCTGCAGTCTCTAACCTTATACTCTAGTATGTCCGCAATCTCTGATCATCTAATTTAGTGTTTCTGTGGTCTCTAAATCTCTACACATCCCCGGTCTCTGACCACCTACTCTAGTATGTCTGCAGTCTCTGACCATCTACTCTAGCTAGTCTGGGGTCTCTAACTATCATCCCTAGTACACTAGCATGTCTGCAGTTTCTGACCATCTACTTTAGTGCGTCTACAGTCTCTGACCATCTACTTTAGTGCGTCTACAGTCTCTGACCATCTACTTTAGTACAGCTGACCATCTACTTTAGTACGTCTACAGTCTCTGACCATCTACTTTAGTACGTCTACAGTCTCTGACCATCTACTTTAGTACGTCTACAGTCTCTGACCATCTACTTTAGTACGTCTACAGTCTCTGACCATCTACTTTAGTACGTCTACAGTCTCTGACCATCTACTTTAGTACGTCTACAGTCTCTGACCATCTACTTTAGTACATCTACAGTCCCTTACCATCTACTATAGCATGTCTACAGTCTCTGACCATCTACTCTAGCACCTCCACAGTCTCTGACCATCTACTCTAGCATATCTATGGTCTCTGACCATAGACTTTAGTACGTCTACAGTCTCTGACCATCCTCTCTAGCATGTCTGGGTTCTCTAAATATCGTCTCTAGCACCTCCACAGTCTCTGACCATCTACTCTAGCACATCCACAGTCTCTGGTCATCTTCTCTTAGGAAGATTTGTGATGGCAGAAGCACACTGATGGCCACTGATGCTAAAGGCTGATTGCAGAACAGCACTGCACACTGCCTTAGGTCTATCAATATGTTCTAAAGGGTTCAATAAACCAGAACCCAAGGCATGCTCTTACCGGGCCGCCCCAGATGTGCGGGACAACAAAACACACAGCAGCAAGGTGACAACCCAGATGGCGGAGATCACAAACACTCCTGTGCCCACACCGAGAACCGTGGTCGCCATTCTGCAGAAGGAAAGGAATATGAAAGAAATGAAAACCTATTTTATGGTAGTGTAGGGTGTCAGTGATACAAATTTCAGGGCTAGCAGACACACGGCATACTGCTGGATAAGTTTGTGTTTCAAAGTCAAAATCTGAGCATCTCTGATCTTCTCAGCACCATGTGTGAAGATACAGCGCCCTATTCAGTGGCGCTCTGCACCACACCATCACTAGATGGCACACCGAATGAGAATGAAAAAGTACGGAAATGAATGTGCCCATATCATTCTCTGTACACGGTGTGATCTGACCCCTTCACCAATGCCCTGTCATCACACCTCCATCAATAGCATCTACAATATCCCCCCCCCCCCCCCCCACCCCCCCCCCCCCCCCCCACACCCGCAGTACAGCCTGGGACCTGCCAAGTAGAAGGTGAGAAGACATAGCAGATGGAAGTGACAGATCAGACACAATGTAACAAATGTAACAGGAAAAAGAAAGAAGAAAAAAAAGGCCAAAGAATGCTGTTAGTGTATACAGAACCGAATATCTATATACCCCTCTGGTCAATATTGGTTGTGCTCATAATATCAGCATCAGAATATCATCTCTAGCAAATCTAAGAACCCAATGGCTTCGTAATACTCCCTATGGATGATCTATGAACCCAATGGCTTCGTAATACTCCCTATGGATGATCCATGAACCCAGTGGCTTCGTAATACTCCCTATGGATGATCTATGAACCCAGTGGTTTCGTAATACTCCCTATGGATGATCCATGAACCCAGTGGCTTCGTAATACTCCCTATGGATGATCCATGAACCCAGTGGCTTCGTAATACTCCCTATGGATGATCTATGAACCCAGTGGTTTCGTAATACTCCTGTGGATGATCTATGAATGTGGCTTCAAAAACACTCCCATGAATGATCCCAGTGGCTTCGTAATACTCCCTGAACCCAGTGGTAATGATCTGATCTATGAACCCAGTGGTTTCGTAATACTCCCTGTGGATGATCTATGAACCCAGTGGCTTCGTAATACTCCCTGTGGATGATCTATGAATCCAGTGGCTTCGCAATACTCTCTGTGAAATCCATGAACCCATCGTAATATCTATGAACCCAGTGGCTTTGTAATACTCCCTGTGGATGATCCATGAACCCAGTGGTTTCGTAATACTCCCTTGTATGGACGATCTATGAACCCAGTGGCTTTGTAATACTCCTTGTGGATGATCCATGAACCCAGTGGCTTCGTAATACTCCCTGTGGATGATCTATGAACCCAGTGGCTTCGCAATACTCTCTGTGAATGATCCATGAACCCAGTGGTTTCGTAATACTCCCTATGGATGATCCATGAACCCAGTGGCTTCGTAATACTCCCTGTGGATGATCCATGAACCCAGTGGTTTCGTAATACTCCTTGTAGACGATCTATGAACCCAGTGTGGCTTTGTAATACTCCTTGTGGATGATCCATGAACCCAGTGGCTTCGTAATACTCCCTGTGGATGATCCATGAACCCAGTGGCTTCGTAATACTCCCTGTGGATGAACTAAGAACCCAGTGGCTTCGTAATACTCCCTGTGGATGATCTATGAACCCAGTGGTTTCGTAATACTCCCTGTAGATGATCCATGAACCCAGTGAGTTTCGTAATACTCCCTGTGGATGATCTATGAACCCAGTGGCTTTGTAATACTCCCTGTGGATGATCCATGAACCCAGTGGCTTTGTAATACTCCCTGTGGATGATCCATGAACCCAGTGGCTTTGTAATGCTCCCTGTGGATGATCTATGAACCCAGTGGCTTCGTAATACTCCCTGTGGATGATCTATGAACCCAGTGGCTTCCCGTGAACCCATAATACTCCCTGTGGATGATCTATGAACCCAGTGCTTCGTAATACTCCCTGTGGATGATCTATGAACCCAGTGGCTTCGTAATACTCCCTGTGGATGATCCATGAACCCAGTGGGTCCCTGTGGATGATCTATGAACCCAGTGGCTTCGTAAATACTCCCTGTGGATGATCTATGAACCCAGTGGTTTCGTAATACTCCCTGTGATGATCCAATGAACCCAGTGGCTTCGTAATACTCCCTGTGGATGATCTATGAACCCAGTGGTTTTGTAATACTCCCTGTGGATGATCCATGAACCCAGTGGTAATTTGTAATCCATGAACCCTCCTTCGTGTCCCTGTGGATGATCTATGAACCCAGTGGCTTTGTAATACTCCCTGTGGATGATGTATGAACCCAGTGGCTTTGTAATATTCCCTGTGGATGATCTATGAACCCAGTGGTTTTGTAATACTCCCTATGGATGATCCATGAACCCAGTGGTTTTGATTCCCTGTATGAACCCAGTGGCTTTGTAATGCTCCCTGTGGTTTTGTAATGATGTATCTATGAACCCAGTGGCTTTGTAATGCTCCCTGTGGATGATTTATGAACCCAGTGGCTTCGTAATGCTCCCTGTGGATGATGTATGAACCCAGTGGCTTCGTAATAGTGGCTCCCTGTGGATGATTTATGAACCCAGTGGCTTCGTAATACTCCCTGTGGATGATCTATGAACCCAGTGGCTTCGTAATACTCCCTGTGGATGATCTATGAACCCAGTGGCTTCGTAATACTCCCTGTGGATGATCTATGAACCCAGTGGCTTCGTAATACTCCCTGTGGATGATCTATGAACCCAGTGGCTTTGTAATACTCCCTGTGGATGATTTATGAACCCAGTGGCTTCGTAATGCTCCCTGTGGATGATCTATGAACCCAGTGGCTTTGTAATACTCCCTGTGGATGATTTATGAACCCAGTGGCTTCGTAATACTCCCTGTGGATGATCTATGAACCCAGTGGCTTCGTAATACTCCCTGAAGATGGTCTATGAACCCAGTGGCTTCGTAATACTCTCTGTGAATGATCTATGAACCCAGTGGTTTCATAAATACTCCCTGAAGATGATCTATGAACCCAGTGGCTTCGTAATACTCTCATGAATGATCTATGAACCCAGTGGTTTCATAAATACTCCCTGTGGATGATCTATGAAACCCAGTGGCTTTGTAATACTCCCTGTGGTTGATCTATGAACCCAGTGGTTTCAGAATACTCCCTGTAGATGATCCATGAACCAAGTGGCTTTGTAATACTCCCTGTAGATGATCCATGAACCCAGTGGCTTCGTAATACTCCATGTGGATGATCTATGAACCCAGTGGCTTCATAATACATGTATTAAATATTAATAAATAATGCCCCCCCTACAGTCAATCTGTGGGCCCAGAACTTTCATAATACTCTTTTTGGATGATATATGAACGTAGAGACTCCATAGTACCTGTAATTAATATTACCCCTCAGCTCAATATATGAGCCCTGCACTTTTGTAATAGTCCATACGGTCGATCTATGAGCCCAGCACCTTCAAAATACCCCCCCCCCCCCAGCTATATATGAACCCAGAACCCTCATAATATCTCCAGGCATATTTATGAGTTCAACACCTTCATAATACCCCCTATGGCCAATCTATGAACTAATTACCTTTAGAAACACTCCCACTGGCAAACCTATGAGCCCAAAACCTTCATAATGCCCTCTATGGTTAGTCTATGAGTCTAGGGATTTCGTCATACCCCCATAGCTGATCTATGAGCCCAGCGCTTGTAATGCCCCCTCTAGCCACTCTATGAGTCCAGGCCCTTTATAATATCCCCATTGCTAATTTATGAGCACAGCGCCCTTATTATACCCTCTATGGTGGATTTATGAACTAGGTGCATTTATAAATACTCCCTACGGCAAATCTATTAGCAAACTCCCTCATAATCAGGGCAGGATTTCCCAATAGGCACTGTAGGCATGTGCCTACAGCTGCCCTTCCTAAAGGGGTGCCCGTCTATAGGATTTTTTTTTTTTTTTTTTTAACAGCTGTCTCAAGGGGTCCTGGAAATGAAGGTCTGTCACAGACAGCTGAGCTGCTTGCAGTGAACTTAGTGCAGATGGCACCAAAACAGATGCTGCCAGACGGGACAGGTAACAGACATAACTTTTGGCACACAGATCCCCCCCACTACCTCCTCCGGCTCCTGGTCTCCAGAAGCTGATCAAGTGGCTCTATTGGCGAATCGAGTCTTGCAGTGATTGAGCACGACTCGGGGGAGGGTGTGGTCACCTTGGAGGTGATCGTGGCGGCCCGCCGTCTGTTGCAGGTGTGACAGGCTCACAGTGCAATGTGACCTCTGCAGACCCTGATGTAAAGGGGAACTCTGAAGTAAGAGGGAACACTGCTGATCCTGATGTAAAGGGGAACGCTGCTGACTGTGATATAAGGGCGGGGGCTTTGGTGACCAAAGACCACCTTACATCAGTTTTCCCCTTTACATCATAGTCCGCAGTGTCCCCCTTACATCAGAGTTCGCAGAGGTACCCCTTGCACTGTAAGGGGAAACCCTGCTGATTCTGATTTAAAGGAGAACTCTGAGGACTCTGATGTAAGGGGAACTCTGGGGACTCTTGTTTAAGTGGGGCTCTGGTGACCAGAGACCCTCTTACATCAGAATTCCCCTTTACATCACAGTCTGCAGTGTTCCCCTTTACATCAAAGTACTCAGCATTCCCCTATACACATATAAAAGTATTTACAGTATCTCCCAGAAGTGAGTCTCCCCCCTCACATCTTTGTAAATATTTGATTCTCTCTTTTCATTTGACAACACTGCAGAAATGACACTTTGCTACAATGTGACGTAGTCAGTGTACAGCTTAAACATTGGGGGGGAAAAAGTTCATATAATCACACATAACATACCTTTGTGCGATGATGGGAACTTCAATCCTGATTCCTGAGATGCCACAGGTATGCGGGGCAGGGGGGGGGGGGGGGATGGCAGCTTCAGTCTGAGGCTTCTCACAGTTGCATAGATGTCTTTATAGAAGGATGGAAACACAGAACGTAAAATATAAAAACAACAAATGCTATCATTAGAAATCACAGGGCATGTTCCTGTCAGTATAGTAGTATACCCCTTGTTGTCGATTTTGGTGGGTGAATGCGACCCATTCAAGTGAACGCGGTACGGTGGTGCGGGCGTTTAGAGGTTAAAACAGGAAAATTAGCTGCCAAGCTGAAAAACGATCTTCAGATTGCTCTTCAGAGGACTAGCACAGGTGTGAATGAACCCTGAGCCCTTACTGGCATTTCTCTGAGTCACAATTCCCCCTTTCGCAGGACTTGTGCATGCCTGGTGTAGTCCAGGCAGGTGCAGACTGTCAACTCATGGGGCCCCCGGGGCAATAGGGGATCAAAAAAGAGGTACCCCTTGCACTGTAAGGGGAAACCCTGCTGATTCTGATTTAAAGGAGAACTCTGAGGATCATGATGTAAGGGGAACATAGGGGATCATGGGGCCCCTGTGTCCTTGCCCAAACTCAAAAAAAGCCTATGAAAAAGGTACCAGGGGCATCTCATGGGGCCCCCTACTGACCCCGGGCCCTCGGGCAGTGCCCGAGTTTCCAAATGGTCAGTCCGCCCCTGGGGGCAGGAATGTGTGCAAAATCGCAGTGTTTTCCCACATTGTACGAAAATGCGCTGCCGTCGGCAGATGCCCATAGTGGCCATTAATTCTTAAAATGATGCCGTACCAAACCACATGGTATTGTGGCATCGTGTGTTTTGGCGGCCGTGAATGCACATGCATTTGCCAGATGTGTGGGGGGTGCCAATAATTCCTAATAGCACCCCCATGCATCTGCGTACGTTCATGCCTTCTAAATGTATAGAACTTCGACATGATTTTTGCGTGCGTCACGTGTGTAGGGCAGCCGATTGAAATATATAGGCTGCCCTAAATGCGCAGGAATGCACAAAAAAAAAAAAAACGCACACTCAGATGCACCTTATGGTGTGAATGAACCCTCAAGGCGACCGAATACACCCACAAACATGTAGTCACTGGTCATACCGCTGCGATTTAAAAATTGCCCGATTTGTGAGCAATTTTAGCGCAATTTCTGAAGACTTTATTGCGACTTGTAAATATTTTTAATGATCTCTTGCGATTTTCAGTGCGATTTCTATTATATTCTAATATGTGAAATCGCAATAAACTACAGAAAAAAAGAAATGCAAGAACTACTTTAGAAATCGCGGTGCAGCAAATCGCACAGGTGAAGACACTGACATTTACATTCATTAGGTGCAATATCAATTCACAAATCGCACCAGTATGACCGGGCACTGAATACAGTGAAATTCCCACCGTCGGTCACATGACATCACCGTCGCGCAGACAAAAAAACGTAAACATATACGGGTGGGAGTAAACCTCCGTAACACGTTGCCCCTAGCAACCACTACTCAAATACGCACATCGAGGGGAATTTACTACGACTGGAGCAGCCAGGAGGTGCAGCAGCTGTGCACGGCAACCAATCAGCTTCCATCTTTCATTTTTAAAGCTTAACCGATCAAGCTAAAGCTAGAAGCTGATTGGTTGCCGTGCACAGCTGCTCCAGTTTTGATAAATTGCTGATTATAAATGACCATTCACACAAAAAGCCAAATAAAACAATGCAAAGCAAAAACCACAGATCACTTACTGAGAGAAGGCTGAAATCAAGGGACCCAATGGAAGGGTGCAGGGAAGCAGAATGGAGACAATCCTGTCTTTCCACTTCCAGGTCAGAGGGCGTCATGAATCCCAGTGTACAGATCACAACACAGCGTTGCCTGGCAACAAAGGACGCCGACCGAGCATGTGCTACACCAAACAAAGCGCAAAGGTGCAGCACAGCATGCTAGGACTGCTATGTCCCGGGTATTCAATTCACATTCAAGGAGGTCTGGTCTGTCAAATGTTCTTCCATCAGAGGTCCGAACCTCGTGTTTTCCAGACTCAGATTCCAATATATATATCTCACATTCCTTCTGTACTGTAAAATGTATTGTAATTGTATTGTCTCCCGTTATATTGTAAAGTGCTGCGCAAACTGTTGGCGCTATATAAATCCTGTATAATAAAAATATATACTGAGAAAAAATATTTATAGCGATAGATACAAACTCCACGTTGTCACTTTTACCCCCAGGTAAGCTTATAATAAAACTCACTTGTAGTACAACGAATATCCCCGAAATGTGCGCCGTGTATCAGATATTTTTATATTTTGCAGTTTAAGCACATTATGGCTTAAACTGCCTGGAGGCTCACTTTTTTTATTTTATTTTTTATTTAAGGCGTATTTATAGCCGCTTTAGTGTACAATTTGCATAGCAGAGTATAGCCCCTTTACATTTGGTGCCCCCTTACATCAGTTGTCCCCAACAGAGTGCCCCCTTACATCAGGTGTCTCCATCAGAGTGCCCCCTTACATCAGGTGTCTCCATCAGAGTGTGCCTCCTTACATCAGGTGTCCCCAACAGAGTGCCCCCTTACATCAGGTGTCCCCAACAGAGTGCCCCTTTACATCAGTTGTCCCCAACAGAGTGCCCCCTTACATCAGGTGTCCCCATCACAGTGCCCCCTTTCCTCTGGTGTCCCCATCAGAATGCCCCCTTACATCAGGTGTCCCCATCAGAGTGCCCCCTTACATCAGGTGACCCCATCAGAGTGCCCCCTTACATCAGGTGTCCCCATCAGAGTGCCCCCTTACATCAGGTGACCCCATCAGAGTGCCCCCCCTACTTTGGGTATCCCCATCAGTCTCTTCTTACACCAGGTGTCTTCATCAGACCACACCTTACATTAAGTGTCCCCATCAGAGCACCCCCTTATATTGGGTGTTCCTAGCTGAGTGCTCCCTTACATCAGTTGTCCCCAACAGAGTGCCCCCTTACATCAGGTGTCCCCATCAGAGTGTCCCCCTACATTGGGTGTCCCCATCAGTGTCCTCTCTTACACCAGGTGTCTTCATCAGACCACACCTTACATTAAGTGTCCCCATCAGAGCACCCCTTATATCGGGTGTTCCTAGCTGAGTGCTCCCTTACATCAGTTGTCCCCAACAGAGTGCCCTTTACATCAGGTGTCCCCATCAGAGTACCCCCCTACATTGTCAGTCTCCTCTTATACCAGGTGTCTTCAACAGACCACACCATACATCAAGTGTCCTCATCAGAGCACCCCCTTATATTGGGTGTCCTATCAGAGCACTTACCTACATCAGTTGTCCCCTACAGATTGCCCCTTACATCAGGTGTCCATATAAGAGCACCCCTTACGACATTAGTTGTCCCCAAGAGAGTGCCCCTTACATCAGTGTCTCCATTAGAGTGTCACCCTTACATCAGTTGTCCCCAACAGAGTGCCCCCTTACATCAGGTGTCTCCATCAGAGTGCCTTACCTACATTGGGTTGTCCCCATCAGTCTCCTCTTACACCAGGTGTCTTCATCAGACACACCTTACATTAGTTGTCCCCATCAGAGCACCCACTTACAACAGGTGTCCCCATCAGAGCACCCACTTTACAACAGGTGTCCTCATAAGAGTGCCCCCTTACATCAGTCTCCATCAGTTCTCATAAGAGTGCCCCCTTACATCAGGTGTCCTCATCAGAGATCCCCCTTACATTGGGTGTCCCCATCAGTCTCCTCTTACATCAGGTATCCTCATAAGACCATACCTTACATTAAGTATCCCCATCAGAGCACCCACTTACATCAGGTGTTCTCATAAGAGTGCCCCCTTACATCAGGTGTCCTCATCAGAGATCCCCCTTACATTGGGTGTCCCCATCAGTCTCCTCTTACATCAGGTATCCTCATAAGACCATACCTTACATTAAGTATCCCCATCAGAGCACCCACTTACATCAGGTGTCCTCATAAGAGTGTCCCCCTTCAATCAGGTGTCCCTATCAGAGCACCCCCTTTCTTTAGTTGTCCCCAACAGAGTGCCCCCCTACCACATCAGTGGCCCCATCAGAGTGCCTCCTTTCATCAGTTGTCCCCAACAGAGTGCCCCCTTATATCAGGTGTCCCTGTTAGAGAGCCCCCTAACATCAGGTGTCCCCATCAGAGCGCCCTCTTACATTGGGTGTCCCCCTTCAGTCTCCTCTTACACCAGGTGTCCCCATCAGACCACCACCTTACATTAAGTGTCCCCATCAGAGTTCCCCCCGTTATATATTGGGTGTCCCTATCAGAGCTCTCACATCAGTTGTCCCCATCAGAGTGCCCCCTTACATCAGGTGTCCCCATCAGAACACCCCCCTACATTATGTGTCCCTGCTAGAGTCCCCATTACATCAGGTGTCCCCAAAAGCATACCCTCTTATATCAGGTAAGATATACTATATAGGTGCTTAAATCCAAAAAGCTTCTACATCTCTATAATCCATCAGGTGCTCAAGGGATGTGACCGCATGTTAACACTAAAAGTTCTGGATAAACCCTCTGCACGCTGCTCTGGATCCCTCTGCACGCTTTCCACCCTTTTCAAGCAAACTTTGCAAAGAAACAGGAATTTGTAGTTCACATGCTGTACATAGCAATACATGTTTAAGCTGGCCAACTGCATCAAAGTAATCCCTCTATGGCCAGTCCCTACTGAGCTCTGCCAAATGTAAATGGATACAGTGGATATGGGGATTACTTTGATGCTCTTGGCGGGCTTAAACATGTATTGCAATGTAGGTGAACTAAAAAATCTGCTAGAAAGGGTGTGTTGCAGTGCGCAGAGGGTTCATCCAGAAATTGTAGCCCTTACATCAGGTGCCCCCATCAGAGTCCCTCTTACATCAGGTGTCCCCATCAGAGCGCCCCTTTACATCTGGTGTACCCATCAGAGTCCCCCTTACGTCTGGTGTCCCCATTACTGTGCTCCTTACATCAAGTGCTCCCATCAGAGCCACCTTACATCAGGTGTCCCCATCACTGTGTTCCTTCCATCAAGTGCTCCCATCAGAGTCCCCCTTACATCAGGCTTCCCCATCACTGTGCTCCTTACATTAGGTGATCCCATCAGAGTCCATCTTACGTCAGGTGTCCCCATCACTGTGCCCCCTTACATCTGGTGTCCCCATTAGAGTGCCCCGTACATCAGGTGTCCCTATCAGTATACCTCCTACATTAGGTTCCCCCATCAGAGCACCCTCTTACATCTGGTGTCCCCATCAGAAAGCTCCCTTACTTACATCAGGAGTCCCCATCACAGTGTCCTCTTACATCACGTGTCCCTATCAGTGTGCCCCCTACATCAAGAGTTCCCCTATACATTAGGTGTCCCCATCAGAATGCCTCCCTACATCAGGTGTCCCCATCAGAGGGCCCCCTTGCAATGTGTAGGATAGGGCATCTGCAGCTGGCTGGAGACCTGTGAGAATAGAGGCCACTGCACCGTGGCGGCGTGTGCAACACACTTCAGCAAAGTGTGTGTGTGTGTCAAAATTGTGCTAACAGTCTGAGGCTTAAAGTTTGAGTGCATATCACACAGCGTGCAAGGGTTAGAAGTGTCTAAGGCACAGAGTGCAGTGGTCAGGAGTAAGTAATGCACAGAACACAGCGGTCAGGAGTATGTAACACACAAAGTGCAGGGGTCAGGAGTAAGTAATGCACAGAACACAGCGGTCAGGAGTATGTAACACACAAAGTGCAGGGGTCAGGAGTAAGTAGTGCACAGAACACAGCGGTCAGGAGTATGTAACACACAAAGTGCAGGGGTCAGGAGTAAGTAATGCACAGAACACAGCGGTCAGGAGTATGTAACACACAAAGTGCAGGGGTCAGGAGTAAGTAGTGCACAGAGTGCAGGGGTCAGGAGTTCACTTCGTAAAGCATAGGTCAGTAGATAAAGTACAAGAAAAAAATTACCTTCCACTCAAAGCAAAAACTCCCTTTCTCCCCACTCCTACTAATATGGATTCCCTCCCACAGCACAGCCCCCTCCCTCAGTACAAATTCTGCCCCTTCAGCTCTCCCCCCTATTACAGCTCTGCCCCATCAGCACTTCTCTCAGTACAGCGCTGCCACCCAGTTCAGCTCTACCTTCCCTGGAAAGTTCTACCCCCCCAGTACATTTCTGCCCCCCAGTACAGCTCTTCCCCCTCAGTATAGCAACCCCAATACAGCTATACCCTCTTAGGAAAGTTATACCCCCCCCCAGTACATTTCTGCCCTCCAGTACAGCTCTTCCCCTCAGTATAGCAACCCCAATACAGCTATACCCTCTTAGGAAAGTTATACCCCCCCAGTACATTTCTGTCCCCCAATACAGCTCTTCCCCCTCAGTATAGCAACCCCAATACAGCTATACCCTCTTAGGAAAGTTCTAACCACCCAGTACATTTCTGCCCTCCAGTAAAGCTCTTCGCCCTCAGTATAGCAACCCCAATACAGCTATACCCTCTTAAGAAAGTTCTACCCCCCCCCAGTACATTTCTGCCCCCCAGTACAGCTCTTCCCTCAGTATAGCAATCCCAATACAGCTCTACCCTCTCAGGACAGATCTTCCCCCAAAAAAAACAGCTCAGGCTACCAATACAACTCTGCCCCCCAACAGAGCCCCCTCAATGCAGCTACCCCCCCCAGTACAGCCCCCCCCCCCAATACAGCTCAGATGTGCTTTAACTGCAGACTGTCAGCTTTAATTTGAGGGTATTTACATCCAAATCAGGTGAACGGTGTAGGAATGACAACAGTTTGCATATGTGCCTCC